GCTGAGCAAGAGCTCAGGGCCCCCTCTAGCTCTCTGGAGCAGGGGATGGATGAGGTGATCTCCAGAGGTCCCTCCTAACCCCTGCCAGTCTGGGATTCTGGGATTCAAAGCTCCTAAAAAAGGAGGTGGTTTAAATAAAACCACCTATTTCAGGATACACCCAGACACCCCGAGCACAGAACAACACCCAGCTCAATTCCAAACCATTCCAAAACCTGTTAATAGAATTAATTAAGCAGTTTTCCTTTCCTGATGCAGACTGAGGACATGGACACTAAGGTGCTGTGAACATCCAGGTGAATCCATACAAGCAGAGGACACAGGTCTCCAGGTGGCAAGAGGTCAAAAAACCCTGCACCTTCCAGATGCAGATTTCCCACCCAACATCACTTCCATCATCTTCTCCTGAAATCTACAGCCAGACACTCTTACCTAGAGAGAGTTCTTGTCCAAAACTAAGCCCAAGCTTTGAAGATACTGCCTAAGTGCCCACGTTTTGGGAACGTGAAGCCACAAGGCTTTCTGTGGTCTCCTTACCTAGTTTTACAGGAAAGCCTGGTGGAAGCTTCATTTGAACAAATTCTCTAAGTTTGTTAAAGTGCTTGAAGGGTGCAATTACTTCTAAAACATTCAACAATCTGAAAAAGAAAACAAATTTCATTACAAATTCTTACTTCACAAGCTCCTCCCTCTAGAAAAGATAAAACTGACCCAAAAGAGCAAGGTGATAAAAAACGACTTGATAAAAAAAACTGCATTGTGCTTGTATGTCCATCTCCTTGGAGCTTCAACATCCACAGCCCATGTTCAGCTCCTGGTGATCTCCATCCTGCCACCAGAGGTGTACAAACAAAGGTGAAGACACCAATTCCCTGTCCCCATTTTCACAGGAGCCTGGAGCACGTGGCACCACACCTCCTGCTTCAGGAGCACAGAACCCAGCACAGATCTGTGCTGGTTCAGAGGACACAACTTTGGGCTAAAGCTTGTTAGGGGCAAAGATGTTTTAGAAACCTGTAGAATCAGGCACATGAGTACTAGAATAAAACCACAGAATCATTTGGGTTGGAAGAGACCTTCAAGATCAAGACCAACCATTAACCCCAGCACTGCCAGGTCCCCCCTGCCCCGTGTCCCTCACACCACATCTCCACGGCTTGGAAACCCCTCCAGGGGTGGGGACTCCACCACTGCCCTGGGCAGCCTGGCACAGCCCTGGGCAACCCTCCAGGGCAAGAAATTGTTCCTCAGGGACAACCTCAACCTCCCCTGGGGCAACTTGAGGCCGTTTCCTCTTGTCCTGTTGCTCGTCCCTTGGGAGCAGAGCCCGACCCCCCCCTGGCTCCAGGCTCCTGTCAGGAGCTGTGCAGAGCCAGAAGGTCTCCCCTGAGCCTCCTTTGCTCCAGGCTCAGCACCCCCAGCTCCCTCAGCTGCTCCTCCCCACACTTGGGCTCTAGACCCTTCCCCAGCAGCTCCGTTGCCCTTCTCTGGCCACGCTCCAGCCCCTCAAGGTCCTTCTGGAAGTGAGGGACCCAAAACTGACCCCAGTATTTGAGGGGCAGTCTCCCCAGTGCTAAGTCCAGTGGGACAATCCCTGTCTTCCCTAGTCCTGCTGGCCACACCAGTGCTGAACCAGGCCAGGATGCTGGTGGCCTTCTACGCCACCCAGGCAGACACTGCCTCATTTCCAGCCAGCTGTTGACCAACCCCCCCAGGTCCTTTTCTGCCAAGCACTTTCCAGTCACTCCCCCCAGCCTGGAGCACTGCAGGGGGTTGTTGTTCAACCAGGCCAAGTCCTGGGTCCTGCACTGAGGTCACCTCAGCCCATCAATCCAGCCTGGCCAGGTCCCTCTGAAAAGCCCCCTGACCCTCATCTACACTCCCAACCAGCTTCTTATCATCTGCAGACTTATTGAGGGTGCCTCAATCCCCTCATCCAGATCACTGATAGAAGTATTAAATGGAGCAGGCTGAGCCCTAAGCCCAGGGGAACCTGGGTGACAGGTTAAACTGGCCAAACTCTGCTCCTGCCCAGCCAGCCACGCGTGGGGCTCTGCCAGCAAGAGCCTCAGCAGCTCTGGGGTCTCCAATCTGAGCAGCTGACTTAGCAGCACGACTTCATTCACAGGTCTTGCACTCCCCCAAACTCCCATGGCTGAAGAAGAATTCTGCAGCCCACAAATGCCTGAAAACATCTCCTACAAATCACATCTGTGGTCAACAGTTTGGACTTACGATTCAATTCCCAAGGGAAATTCCTGGCTCATAGCTATTGTGGCTTTAAAGGTTTTCTTGCTTTCTTTGCAGACCAGCTCTCTGCCCAGGTGAGGAGCTCTGGAAGGGCAGGGGGGAGAAGGACAAAGTCAGGTTTTCTCTCAGTGAAACATCAGTTTTAGAGGAAGGAAGACTCAGGTTTGAAAATGTCAGTAAAGAATCCCTACAACAAAGGAAATCCTTTCCAAGTAAAAGCTGTGCACAGTGCAGATGAGTCATTGACCACTTTAATTTAGATTTCTCTGAGTTCTGCTAAAGCAAGACACAAGACAAAGACAGGGAAACTACAAATAATTCCACATGAACACTGCAGAAGGATGTAATAACTACCCAGGAATAAATACAGCTGATTTCAGATGTGACCTAAAGTAGTCTGCATGTGAGCAAAGTATCACAGGAGCTGGAAAAAGGGTTGTTTCATACTTTAGGATCTCAGAGAAAGTGGGACAGTTACTCTGCTGTCACTAGAAGGCAGCACAGGAAAACACAGGATGAAAAATCCTGCTGCAGGAGAGGAAGAGGTAGGGAACAAATAAGATAAGAACTCTTTTCCTCCACGATGGCTCAAAGCCTGGACTTCCTGCTCAACTCCCTGCAGTTAATCAGATTAAACAAAGCAGTCTTCTACCCGTCGGTATTTTTGTCCCAACAGGAACAGCTGTTCCAGCATAATCTATTTATTCTGCCTCAATATCCATCCTGGCTCAAACACAGGAAAGATGAATGAATTACAGCAGTAATTTGTCAGAAAATCTTCCTTCAGGAAGGGAGGGCAGCTTAGACGTGCCCCTTTTAGACCTGTTCACGTGCCAAGGCACGGGGAGCAGGGAGACCCCCACCCCAAAGAGACAAACCAGCCCAAAGGGAGGGTCCCAGGGGCACTCACTTGCCATTCTCAGCAGAGATGTACTCCTCCCACGTGATGGTGTTGGGCGAGGGCGGCGTCAGGGACTGCCGTCGGACGGGCTGTGGGACAGACACCCTGTCACCCCCTCAGCTGGCACAACCCCCCCCTCCAGTCCCACCAAAACCAGCAGCAGTCTCTCCAGCGTGGAGCTGGGACCTTGCTGGGCTGCTCCAGCTCCCACAGCCCCCCCCCCCTCAGCTGGTTTAATACCCCACAGTGTGTCCTGCATGCAGGCTGGCTGGTTTAATGCCTGGGTTAAAGCAGTTCATTCAAGAGCCACAATGGCAGAGAGCAAAGCAGGAGCTGATACAGAAATCAATTAATCATTTTTCAAAGGCTGTGGGTGTGTCCCCACACGATGTCTGGCTGGCTCTGAATAGCTCTTGATTTCATGGTGATAATAACAGGCTTAGGCCCTTTTAATGGAGCTCAAGGATTGAAAAGAGCACCCAAAAGGAATTCTGAACACTAAATGTTTGGTCTAAAAGAGTGATTTGTCACAGCCAAAACCATCATCTTTTACAAGAGACAAATTAAGGCTGAAACATCCAAATAGAATCACAGAAATTCCTCAGTGTGTGTGCACTAATCAGGGTAATTCATTAACACATCACCATAATTATACTCCTAGGTCATATTGACAATTTTAAAATTAAGACAATCGGAATCAAAACATCATCTACAGATTCTGCCAAATGACTGGTGTGAAAGATTGTTCTCCTAGGCAAAAAATTCCCTTCCTGTGAAGGATCACTGAAGCCTACCTCAAAATTCTGCTCCATTAAGTTGCCCCCTTTACTCAGGCTCTCCATGATGGCTTTATTCCGAAGAATGTCCTCCTCACTCAGATGTTCTCTCCTCTTCCTCGACTCTAATACAAGCCCATTAACCAAGTAGAAGTCTGCCAAAAAGTTTCCTACTCTTTCCTGCATGAAAGGAATTGGATGTTAATGACTCAGAGAAGATAAAAAACATTAAATTCTTGTACAGACAAAAAAAACTGGGGTTCAGTGCAGTGAGGGGACTCCAGGGTTGAAACATTGCTATTTACACCAGCGGGCACAGGAGCTACCAGAGGACAACCAAAGTGAGGCATGGACAGCAGGAACACAAGGACTCCATCAGGAGCAGGTATTTCGCAGCAATGGAAACTTAAAAACTCAAAAGATGAAGAATTTAAGAGTGGTGAAGGGAAATCAGACTAAAATCCCCTTCAGCAGCAAGATCAAAGAATCACAGACTGGTTTGGGTGGTAAGGGACCTTTCAAGGTCATCTGGTCCAACAGGAGCCACAGATTCCTCCCTGGAATGAATTTGCAGAGATCAGGAGCTCCTACAATAAGGTAAATTTCTGTACAATTTGTTCTCCCCCTGCTCAATATCTGCAGTTTGGCATTTTTCTTCCAGGCTACTTTTTTTCCTCCCAAAGGCCACGGTCACACTAGTGACATTTCAGGGACGGGGACGAGGGGAGACAGTTTTCCTCCACCCTCAGCATCTTATTCCTTTACTCCTTATTTCTCCCCAGGCCCAGCATCCTGCTGTCTGAACTGTTCTGCCCAGGGTGATGCAGCCTGGGACATTTTCTCTCAGCTTACTGTTTTGTCCTCTCTGAACAGCCACCCAGTCTGGGCACGTGTGAAGGTGATGGATTTGGTCGATAACGTCGCCGAGTAAATATCGCTGCTCATCAAAATGTCAACTTCTTCTTCTGTTTCCATCTCAGATTCCTAGAGAAAAGGTTTTTCCAAACACTGATTAGAAGCTAATAATCATGATTACTACTTCTAAAAATAAATCAAGAAACCTTTTCCTTTGGAACTCTTCCCAGAAGCAGCATTTCCTGAGTTTTCAAACTGTTTTATAGAAGCTCTGGCCAAATGGTTCCCAAAATAGTTTAATCTCACATATGAATGCAAATAAAGCATCCAAGGGTGATTTATCTGGCAGCTCAGCAGCCACACCCTCTCCACAGGCAAAGATCCATGTGCTTGAGGGATCCGTGGGTAAAGCTGTAATTAAAAACTTGATTAAAGACAATGGGGCCAGTGAGTCAGACCCTGGCACTGTTAACAACTGAACTGGCCACAGGGGTGACTCAAGAGATGCAAAGCAGGGGTGAGCAAGTCTGAAATCTCACCTGAGGACACCTCAATTAAGGGACATTTAGAAATAAATTTAATTAAAAGCAGCATGTCATAACTCAAAACACATTTTCCTACTCAGAAAGGGAAAAGATTTTCCCAGAGGACTCAGATTCTGGCTCTTTCCTCCTTGAGAAGTCTGTGCTCAAAAGCACTGGTTTTCAGATCAAAATTTTCTGTCACTTTATAAACTTCATTTCTAACAACTGAGCACCCAATTCTCTGCCTTGCATTCCTCTGGAGCTCGTTTGGGTCTTTTTTGTTCATATAAGTCAGACTTCTGATGGGAGGTGAAAGCCTGAGGGATTTCACACTCTGCACTCACACAGGTCTTTACCTCGTGATGTATTCGCTGGTAAACTTTTTGCTCGTTGTCTAAAACTACAAAAGATTCAGAGGGTGCAGCATCACCATTAAAAATGAAGCTCAGATCCCCTCGTTGGCACTTCATGTCAGTAAAGTCTATGAGAGTTGTGTCCAGCCTGTGAAAACACACCAGAAGTTACCCACGACCACTCAAATCCAGCAGGAAGTTCAGTTTGTGAGCAGAAGAATTTCAGTTTTGTTTTTTTTTTAATGACAACCCCTAAAGCACAAGTTTTCACAGAAGATTTCAGAAGTGAAGCCTGGATGCAGAAATTCAAGCAAAAAATTGCTATTACCAGTTACTAAATTCCACATTATAACACCTCAGCCATTATAAATGCATTGCAAACTACTCTTGAGAAATACAACCCCTCCACGTGATCAGCATCCTGCTCTGCAAGCAGCAGCCACTGCTTTGGGTAAAGTATTAGGACATGACCCAGATTATGAAGAGGACTAAGAAACAGACTGCCTATTTTTATTGTTTAAATTTGACTTATTTTAGTGACTATTTCTATTTTTCCCCCCCTCTCCAACACAAAAGAAATGCTCTTGCTGACCTGAATAGCTAGGAGCCAAGGAAAAAGATCAAACAATTCATATCTGTTGTTGTTAGAATGTTACTGTTTTAACAGAGGTGGTTCAAGAACCTAAATTTAGTGACCACTGCAGCTCTAAGTGGTGACTGCTTAATAATTTGACTGCTTAATACCCATCATATGCCATTAGCCTGCAATTTCAAGAATCTGTAGCTATTTCCACTCATTGCCATGCTCGTACCAAGCAGAGCACACAAATGAGAAGGAAAAAGAACACAAGAAACTAGTCTCAGGCTCAAGTCTGACCTAAAAAGTCACTTTACACCCTATGCTAATGGTTTTAATAGGACAACATTGTCTACAGATTCAATCTTCTGAATGACCTTCTTGACTTTTTGGTTGTTTTAAGCTTTGGAACCTGAAGGAAAAAGGCAGAAAAGGCATTTGAATCTAAAACCCAGCTGAACCAGCTCAAGAGCTGAGCTTGGTGAGAGTCTGGAAGCACTCTGCTGAGTTTGTGGATCTGTCCCATCAAGCAATTTTAAAAGAGAACCAGTAGCCCTTTTTTTTTACTACAGATGGGAGCAGCAACAGTTACCACCAAAAACAGAAAGCTGATTTAATTGAAATGGTGTTAAAGAGATCAAATTCCTGTTCCTCAATTAATCATGCCTGGTAGACAAAGCCTTATACAGCTTAACTGTTTTGCCTCTGAGTGACTCAGGAAAGGAAGCAGGATTCAGATCAATAGAGGAGAAAAAAAAAAGAGTGTGAATTTCAAGCCACTCCTCACCCCCAGCAGCCAGGTTTCAGAGGTGCTGGCAGACTCCCCAGTGATCCCTCCCAGACCATGCTGGGACCCAGCACTTCACCAACACACAGGGATTTATGGCTTGGCACATGCTGGGCAGTCAGTGCTTACCTGATATTTATACCTTGTTTGTGTATTTTACATGCATCAGAAGGCAGAATTCGGGAAAGTAAAGGCACTGCAGGGAGGGAGAGAATGTAATTAGGACACTGAGCTTCCTCTGTGAATTATTGCTGTTAAAACCAAGCCCTAGTGTGAACTTTGAGGCACTCTGATACAAACACAGCACGCCTGTTTCCCATCATACTCCCAACACAACTAATACCAGGGGTACCCCAATTAATAACTGCAAAACTGATTTGTGATGGTACAGAATTTAAAATGTCCCCAGCCAGAGGGAAAGCTTTTATCAATTCTAACAAATTCCCTTCTAGCTGTCTGAAGTTTTTATGTGAGTATTGTACCACCTGAAAGCCCAGCTACAACCAAAGCAGGACACCCACAAAACCATCCAATGCACTGTGCTTCAAACACCAAATGTTAAAGCCTTGTGGAAGGGAGAGTCTGTCTAGTGTTATGAGATGGAAACCTGAGGCTGCAGATGTCCTTCTGAAAAAGGACTTTAGGGCAATAAACCAAATTCATCACAAGGGCACTGCAACACCCTCCTCAGCAGGAGCCACAAAGGGTTAAGAACACCTCTAAAATGTAAGAATTAGGACAGAGGCACTGCCTAGGGCATCTTTTTCTCTTTGAGAATATGTGGAAAAAACTGAACCAGGTGAACAGAGGCACAGGGAGGCCCCAGGGGCACCTCTGGCATCACCTTCTCTGTGCCACGTCCAACTGCCACCATCACCCACCACGAGCCAGGCTGCAGTCTCATCACTGAGCACTCACTTCTCTCACTCTGTGCCTCTCTCCTCTCTTTTATGCTACCCCTCAGTTACACTTAACTGACAGCCACCACTCAAGAGTAGAGGCTGAAGTTCAGGACATTAAATCACAAAATCATTCTGGTTGGAAGAGACCTTTAAGATCACCAAGTCCAACTGCTAACCCAGCACTTCCAGGTCACCCTGGCTCAAGTCCAGTTCCTCAACTGAATGGCTGAAACCACTGCTCTGTAGTCACACCAATCAACCAGATGGAGATGTTTTAATATTTTGCTCTTCTAATAACCTATTTTTTAAAGTCAACAACAGCTTGTTCCCCCCATACTGTGTCACTGGATTACACAACAGAACTTGACTCCAAAATGAATAAGCAAAAATAATTCAGAAAAAAAAAGTTGTCTGTCCTTTAGAATTTAGATCTTGAGAAATGGCTGGTGAACTTTCCAGCATGCAAACCAGATGAGAACTGAAGCTTGAGAGAAGCAGTGTGATGAAGACTGATTAGATTATCTCTCTGTGAAAGGAATCTGCAGTTGCTTACCCCAGCTTTGAAAATCCCAGTGAAGCTCTAGATAGAAGTCACCTAGCTGAGATGAAAAGAAGAATACATTAACAAGCTTTGTAGTATGACTGACAACTGTCAAATTCTGCTGGAAGAGAGGCAGGAGTTGTGTTTGGCCACAGAAAACTTCTTCTCTCATGTTAGTATTTTAATTTACCCTGAATGTAAACGTTTCTGAAGCTTTAACTACAGTAGAATCAATAATGATAAAATTGTGTCACTCACTAACTACCCATTTTTAATGAATTTTTTCAAGTAATACTTTACAGCTATTAGGCTGTGGATTGTGAAAGATTAATTGTAAATATGCATTTAAAACAGAAAAGATTGACAGAGCTCTTTGCCTGCTTTGATCACATCTAACCCCATGGAATTACATGTTCTGGCTTAAATTAATGTGTCACCTTTCAGATAGGAGTATTCACACAGAGATCTCAATTTCCCTTCTGGAAATATGCTTAGGTCATTATAGAAAAGTCCCTCTACCTGCACAAAATGATGCCAGCCAACTCCTTTAAACTGTAGGCAAAGCAAAAGCAAACTAAGGGGTGACCTGATTAAAATGAGCACGTGTTGGTGACAGGTTGAGGTAGCCCCACGCTTGCACTACAAGACAGCTATTAAGAGCAACAGAAATTTATAAAAGGAAGCAAAAAAAACTCTTTACAGTTTGCCAGAGGACCCATAGTTAAGAAGAGAAGCTGCTGCTTTCCACAATGACCTCGTTTTGGCAACACAACAGCCTGGAACTCACCTCTTTCAGGGCTTTTAATAATCGAGGTCGTTTTTCTTCAACACTTTCCCTGGACTGCTGCTTCAGCTTCCTCAGGAGTGCTGTGACTAAACAGAAACCAGCCATAAGGCAAATCTGTTCTGTTAATTACAGGTCGCTGTCAATATTTGATAATTTAAAAGGAAAAAAACAACAGAAATGTGACATTTCACCCAGCTTTGGAGTCATTCAAGTGACAGTAATTCTACGTCGCCTACGCTGATCACAACAGGAAGAAAAGCCCCAATAATTATTTATATTATATCACATCCAATCAGGTCAACAGGTATTTTACACACCTATTAATAAACATGTGAGTACACATGTACGATATCAAACATGAGCTTATAGATTGTGTAACATCTACTCACACTGAGAAAATCATTCAGTGGCAAGGAGCTGACAAGCAGAATGTTGTTTAATATTACAAACTAGTGTGTTAATATCTGGAGAATACATTAAGATATTATTCATATATAACAAGTTTCCATGTCTGCCACAGGACGTGGTAACACCAAATACTATGAACATCCACAAGTAAGCAGCAGCAGGGTAATTTTCTCTTCACTACTACCTGAAGTAACTAATTAATCCCTCTGTTTATCCCCTGGCCTGTTGAGGTGCAGCACAAAAGCAACGTCCCACTGCCAAGTGATACATCACATCTATGGGTGACCACACAGAGCAGGTCCAACAAGATGGTCCCATGCACCCTTGCTGGCCTCCCAGCTCCCAGTTTGAACACAGGACACTCATTTGTAACTCCTACAACCACTTTAAGCAAGACTTTAACTCTACTTTTATGTGCCCTGATGCAATTCCTTTCTTATCAAGGCAACAGACACGTGTAGAGCCTGTTGTGTCATTTAGATAGAACAGATGTCCAGCTGATTCAGACAAACTCTCCCTAGAGCTAAAATAAAAGTATCATAACAACTGCCTAGCCTGAAAAGCCTTGGTTTCCTCTTCTGAGGCCTCAACTAGGGATTAATTAGGAAGCTGAGGGTCTTACTCATCTGTCGGTCTCCGTAGCTGATGGCTTCTGCAAGAGGGCTCCATCCCTGAGCATTTTTCACCTTCACTGGAGCATTATGGGCTAAAAGCAAGTGGGCACATTCTGTAACAGAACAGTAATAATTATTTACAGCAAACATCAAGGATACAGCCAGATCAGTCATAATAAAGGAGACAATAAAGTCAGCATGGCAGATATTCAATATATTAAAGAGTTGTTCAAGGTACAGGTCTGGATTCTGTCTCCAATTTTACACCAACCCAAAATGTTGATGTCAGTCCTTCTTGCACCTCCCTGCTACACATTAGCACTCAAACCATAACTGCTGATCAAGCACCAATTGCACAACCCCTGGGGACACGACCCTTCTGCTTCTCCCCTTTGGAGGGCTGGAGCAGCTCTGCTGTGAGGCCAGGCTGAGAGAGTTGGGGCTGTTCAGTCTGGAGCGAAGGCTCTGGGGTGACCTTATTGTGGCCTTCCAGGATCTTAGGGGGGCTACAAGAAAGCTGGGGAGGGACTTTTTAGGCAGTGCCAGGACTGGGGGGAATGGGGCAAAGCTGGCAGTGGGCAGATTCAGGCCGGATGTGAGGAAGTTCTTCCCCAGGAGAGTGGTGAGACCCTGGAATGGGTTGCCCAGGGAGGGGGGTGAGGCCCCATCCCTGGGGGTCTTTAAGGCCAGGCTGGAGGAGGCTCTGGGCAGCCTGATCTCGTGGGAGGTGTCCCTGCTCATGGCAGAGGGGTTGGAACTGGGGGATCCTTGTGGTCCCTTCCAGCCCTGACAGATTCTGATCTGTTTTAGCAGAGGACTTAGTAGTGTTGGCTTGATGGTTGGACTTGATCTTAAAGGTCTCTTCCAACCTAAAGAATTCTATGATTCTACCCCTGACAATCAGCATGCTCACTCTGTAAAGCAATGTCAACCTCTCATCCATGCCACACAGGTCCCTACAGGAGTCACAGCTTAACCTGCATTCCCTCCTCTCTCTGCAGGTAAAGGGTGATGCTGGAATGATGAACAGTCCTTAAAATGAAGGGGAGAAGAAAGCTGCCAGTGTTTCCCTGTTTTGAATAAGCTGTCCTCATTAGAAATGGTCAGAAAAGTCCCCTCATGACATCTGCAGATGACAAAGCAGTGCCAAGCTGGAGCCCTGGGCTGAAGAAATGCCTCCTCCTGGAGAGGACAGGCAGGCCTGGTGGAGAGGAGCTGCCTGGCTCCTCCCCTGCTGGAGGTGTCACAGGAAACCCTACGGGGATGCAGTCAGGGTGAGTCACTGCAGGTCAGTGT